TGCAACATACTCTTTTGATTATAGGATAAATTGGCATATGCTTCATTGTTTTTTATAAGCAAAATGACAGAATTTAAGAAAATTTTATTTTTTTTCTTACATTAGCTCTGATAAAATTAAAATTTATTTTTACAAGACAAATTTTGCTTCATTGTTTTTTATAAGCAAAATGACAGAATTTAAGAAAATTTTATTTTTTTTCTTACATTAGCTCTGATAAAATTAAAATTTATTTTTACAAGACAAATTTATTTAATTAATTATATACTCCCTTCATTAAAAAATGTAAGGCATTTTTAATCGAAGCTTACATTCAATAGAGTAGTTCCCTATTTTCTAACTAATTCTATCTTTTCATATTTACTCTTATTAAATACCCTATAATAAATATAAAATTATTATTAATAAGGGCACTTTTAAAAAAAGACAATGATTACACCTCAAAAAATTAAAAATATCTTATATTTTTAAACATCCAACTTTCTAAAAAATACCTTACATTTTTGAACGGAGGGAGTATATAATTTAGTCAAAATTTTTAATTTTAGATGTACTCCTTCCTTTAAAAATTATAGAGTATTTTTAACTAAATTTTACTTTAATAAAATAGTTAATTACCCTCAAATTAATACAATTTTTTATATTCATCTATATTTAATAAGATATTTTATTTTTAAGTAAATATAAAATAATTTATTTAGTATAGGGACTTTTGACAACGCATAAATTACCTTTCAAAAAATGCCACCCTTTTCATTAGAGAGAATAATTATTATGATTGATTAATTAATTTTTAAATCATGTATTGATTAACGTTTGCTTAGGTTTTGACTAGGGGTGTTCATGGGACGGGATGAGACCGGAACACCCCGTCCCGTGTCTCGTCCCGAAAAAAAGATCGGAACTGAATTTTGGTCCTGTGTCCCGTCCCGTCCCGAAAGTCATCCCATCCCGTTAAGAGTCGGGACGGGATCAGGATAAGATTGGGACGTTCCGTTGTCCTGATAAATGGAATAATGTCGAAAAAAGATTTAGATAATAACGTTCTTTAAAATTTTAAATCATATAATTTGTTAAGTTTAAAATCAAAATAACACAAACACATAAATAATAATAATTTAAAATTAGTTATTGAATTATATTAATCACAACTACATATTATAATAACAAATATAAGTGATCTTTATGCTATAAGATTAGCAACAAGAGGCAAGTCAAATACAATATCAAATCATTGCTCTTCTACTTTAATGAAGACGTACTAAGCTAATTACTCTTCTAAAAATAAGCAAGAAATATGTTATAAATAAAAGTTATTAAATAGATAGATATAAGAATAAATTATATTAATATAATTAATATATTATAAAAAAAAATATCGCCATGTTTACTTCATGCCATTAAAATTATCAATATAAAAAATTTTAGTTTTAAATAAGAATTGTAAGTATTAAAATTATAATTGATATAATTAATATAAGTATATATTATATTAATATAATTAATATATTTAAAATAAAAAATAATATATATAATATTCAGGACGGGACGGGACGTCTCGATGGTAATCCCGTGTCCCGTCCCGTCCCGAACCCCTTTCCTATCCCGTCCCGTAAAGTCCTATCCCGATTATTTTCTGGCCAGAACAAGACCCGTCCCGATATGATCGGGACAATATCGGGCCAGTCGGAACGGGTTCAGACTGAACACCCTAAATTTTGAATATAGTGTGCATTTGTATCATGCTCCCTTGGATCCTACATATAATGTATTTTTTATAATCTTATTTTGTTCTTGAATATAAAAGATGTTATGATATTTTTAAATAATTAGATAATTTTATTTTTATTTTTTAAAAAAGAGATATTAATTGTATACTTTACACACCTATCACTATGATATTAATTAATATTATTAAGAATAAAATTAAAAAATTATTGTGACTTAATATAATTTCAACTAAATGTCAGTTAAAAAATCTATGGAGGAAGTACTTGCTGCTTTGAAGGGATTTTTAATAACATCAATTAATAAGAGGGGAATATATATGCGTGCTTTTCATTGCGTACGGGAGACTCAAATTAGAGTTAGAAATTTGGACAGGTCGGGAGGCTTAACTTGAATAGGCTCGAACTTGAATATACTCGATTATCTAAAAAGCTTGAATAATTAAGCTCAACTTGAATTCCTTCAGGTTTCGAGTAGTCTGAATACCAAAATTTTAATTTTAAAATTATTTTTAATTAATTTTTTAACTTTAAAATTAATTATTTTATTTTATAAAAATATATTTTTTTATACTTAAAGGATGTATATGATCCAAATATATAATATTTTAGCATAAATGACCTAAAACTTAAAGAATTAATTAATATTTATTATATTTTATATATTTTTTAAAAATAAATTTTTTTATTCGGATATTCAAGTCAAGCCTGAGTCCGATCGGGCTTGACCCGAATTTCTTTGGGCCTATTCAGACAATAGGCCTGAACATAAAAAAAATTATAATTTTTTAAAGTTTGATCCTAAATTTTTTTTAGACAAGTTCAAGCTAACTCATTAAGTTTGATCTAAATTATTAACTATAATCTAAATTTTTGATGAGTGAACCCATGAAACATTAATAATTTAATTTAATGAGTATGTTCATCGTCCTCACAAATATTACCAATATCCGTTCGTTGCCCCGATATGGTGCATCCCACCTGTCCTGTGGGACGACACGCTTGTGTTGCACTATTGGTCTCCACATACCAATCCCATTAAACACGTTCGTGTTCCTTCCCCAAACCCAAATGAAACGAACGTGTCTCTCTTCTAAAACACCAAAAAAGTTAATTAATTAATAAGATGAGGAAATTTTCACAACAAAAAACGCCGTTGCGACTCTTCCGTCATATCGTACCATTCATTCCACAGGACTTACCCCTCACGGGTCACGCCTCTCGCCTCGTCTCCTACTCCAAGAGACTTTGAATTCTCTCATTTTTCTCCTTTTTCATTTTGACCAATATTTCAATTTTCATTCCTATTTTCCCCCTCCACATGGTCACACTCTTTCTCACCAACATTGCGGCACAGTGGCACTAAAATCCTACAAATACTCAGGTTTTCAACAATTTTTTTTAAAATAAATTATAAATATTGGTTCAGATAATTGTACTTGCAAGACTTTTGGTTATAAGTTAATTAGAGTTGTATTTAAAATTTAAATATCTTATATGGAATTAAAACTCCTGAATTTATAATTATTTAAGTCAATATTTATAATTTATTTAAAAAAATTCAAGGATTAATTGTTACTAATTCCTTCTTTTAGTAACATTTTTCTTTTAAAATAGATTACTCCCTCAGGTTTTGAACATAGAACATAGTTAATCAACTTCACAATTCTTAAGAAATCATAGTTAATACCTTTAAACTTAATGAGCACAATAAGGTATGTATTATAGGAATTATAACTTGATGCAACCAAGGATGTGCAATATTTCACAACTACAAATTTGTCTTATATTTAGAATTAAATAAGACTTTAAAATTTTGACCTATAATTGAGACGGTAAGTGTATAATATTAATAAAAATACTACTCTTTTGTCTAATTTTGCAAGACATTTTTTAAGTTATTTTGTAACAACTTGAAAATTAACTTCCAAATTAATTAAGTTAATAGAGAATAAGTAAGAAAATTTAAGTGAATTAAAGTAAAATTGAAGTTAGGCCACCTAAGCCTTAAATGGAGGTCAAATCAAAGATTCACCTTCTTAGTAACTAGGGGTTATTTGATCAATTGGGATTAATTACGGAGGTCGTTACACCACGGCGGATCATACTCAACCACAACAGATCCTTCTGGTTTTGACCCGATGATGTTTAAAACCATATTTTCAATGGTTTTAAGCAAAAATGAGCATCTCATGTTTTTGTAAACATTTTACTCTGATTTTTAGCTTGGCCATGGTTTAATCTAAAGTGATTTAGGATTTAAAATTTGGGATCTCATATTTGCTGCTATTATACTTAAAAGCTCAAGTTTGGTTATTGGCGTAACTCCATGTTTACCAAGGTGGTTTTGATTAAATAATCGGATTAATAAAGGTGATTTTACATGTTTAGTATTGCAAAATATAAAATATTTTGAAAAAATTCTATTAATGATTATGCTTATTATTCTAATATTATCACTCATTTTTTCACTCCTTAAATAAATTTTCTTCCATCTCTTATTAATGACTGATATTTTTTAAATTTTATAAAAAAATTTAAAATTATAAACTGTATTTAATAAATTTCATTGATATGCCTAATTTTACTTAAAAAACCTCTCTTCCTATGATATAAGAGATTTTTTTAAAAAATCTCATTTGATATATTGAATATTTTTTATAATTATTTTTACAAATATAGAGCTACTTCTTTTATTATTTTTTAAAAAATGATATATTAAAATTTTAATTATTATTACAGAGAAACTTATACAAAACGTTTAATGAATGCATAATTGAAGAAAACATAATTTTTTTTAAAAAAATAAAGTTTCAATGAAGTTTTTCAAGAATTATGAATCATTTGTTATTAATATTTTATATTATGATGTAGAAGGAAATACCTGTAAATGAGAAGGAAAGAGCAGTGAAATAAATGAGACAGGAGAAAAAATTAAAGCAGGATGGAATGAGTTTGAGAGTTGAAACCACGTGCACCGTCGTGCGGGGCAAGAGAAAGAAAACAATATATAATTAATTAAATATTATCAGCAACAAAAAAACCACGGTGCTGCATAGAACCTCATATCGGCGATACACGGTATGCCTGATTCCAGTGGTTACCCACGGGGTTGTCGCTATCATGAAACCATCTTCTCCATGAGTCGTAACCCTTCTATCCCCAAAAAAAGGAAAAAAAAAAAAAGGAAATTGTAACCCTTCTAGAAGCGCTGCGATAACTTTTCTCTATCTTCTGCCACCTCTTTCCGCGTCCTATAAATCCTCCTTTTCTTACCCTTCTCCATACACTAATCGCATTCACTTAAAATCTCTCTTGTTCGTGATTTCCCCAATTCCTCTTTCAATTCATCTCTCAAATCCTTCAATGGACCTAATTTCGGGTCTTCCTGACGACATCGCACTCGACTGTTTGAGTCGGGTTTCGTATCAGCAGTTCCCGGCGGTCGCCTCTGTTTGCAAGGCCTGGAAGAACGAGATTCAGACGCCGGAGTTTCGCCGTCGGAGGAAGAGCGCAGGGCATGTCCAGAATATCGTCGTTATGGTTCAGGCACGACTTGACTCGGAGAAATCCGTCTCTGGGGCGATAAAGGGGTCGATGAATATGAACCCGGTTTACCGCCTTACAGTTTGTGAGCCGGAGACCGGTCTCTGGAGCGAGATGCCTCCGATTCCAGGTTTGTCAGGCGGGTTACCTATGTTCTGCCAGATTGCGGGTGTCGGGTTGGATCTGGTTGTGATGGGCGGGTGGGACCCCAGTTCCTGGAAGGCGTCCAATTCGGTGTTTGTCTATAACTTCATTTCGGCGACATGGCGCCGTGGGGCCGACATGCCTGGTGGTCCCAGGACGTTCTTCGGCTGCGCGTCGGATGAGCGCCGCTTCGTTTACGTCGCCGGCGGGCACAACGAGGACAAGAACGCTCTGAGGTCGGCGTTCGCGTATGACGTGGCAAGCGACGAGTGGGTCCCAGTGCCTGACATGGCAAGAGAGCGGGACGAGTGCAAGGCCATCTTCCACAACGGCAAGTTCAGAGTCATCGGAGGGTACTGCACGGAGATGCAAGGCAGGTTCGAGAGGAGCGCTGAGGCGTTCGACGTCGCCACGCGGAGGTGGGACCCTGTGGAGGAGGAGTTCCTATATGCTGCCACGTGTCCGAGGACATGCGTGGACAGCGGAGACGACGAGGAGAAAGTGTACATGTGCGGTACCGGCGGGGAGGTGATGGCCCTCCAGGGAGGCACGTGGCGGTCGGTTGCCAAGTTGGGAGACGAGACCCGCCACGTCGCGTACGTGAGGACGTGGAACGGTAAGATGTTGCTGATAGGATCAAGAGCATACAGTGAACCGCACGTGGGAATTATATTGGATCTGGAAACCGGTCACCAGAGAAAATTGGAAATCCCGCGGAACTACACAGGCCACGTTCAGTCCGGTTGTCTTCTAGAAATTTAAGAGATAGAGGTGTTGTCTAAATTTTTATAGTCAGATTATGTGAATACGCAAGATTTTGTTTTGTTTTTGTTTTCTCTTCGGCATTAATTCGTTGCAAGTGATGCGTCCAATACGACACCTTCCTGTTATATGAAGTACAGAGCAGGCATTGTAAAATTTTAAATTATTATTATTTTTTTAAAAAATTTAACTTTAAACTTATACATTTTGTTTAAATACAGTGTTTGACATTTGAAAAGTACTTTTAGCATGCCATCTGAATGTAAAATTTGTTGTATTTATTATGCTATCTGTTATTTGAAACCCAACTGAGGGTATTTGTCAAATACTACCCCTGAGTAGAAGCTTTTATCTTTTGAGATGTGGTTTGGAGTTTTTAACTGAGTTCATATTATTCAAAAAAAAAAAAAACTTTTTAGTCTAGCGAATTTTTTCTCTCTTGAGACATAAAAAAATTTCTACGGTAATGATCTAAAAACGCACCAGTTCGTGGATTTAAATATTGACTCAGAGTGATGAATTTAGATATGTTTTCATATTCTGTCTCTTTTAGATTTTTTTAAGAAAATATTAAGTATAAATAGATTTTTGACAAAATAATTTATACCAAATTAAAAACAAAATCAAAATAAGGACTATGATCCATGATGAAGCTGAGGATATTTTTTGAAAGTACAGTACAATCTTGTATGTGGTGAAGCAATATAAGGCAAAAGATTGAATTAAAGTATCTAAAAAAAAAAAAAACAAAAACGGGGCTGCTGAGGTTGATTAATTGAATCACGAAGCACATTTAGGCCATGTTTGGTAGGTTAGAATTGTGAAGATGGAAATGGAATTGGAATAGGAATCTGAATAAAGTGATGTTTGGTAGATATGAATTGTAATTCTTGGGAATCCTAATTCTATGAAAAAAAGCTGAATTGGATTCCTTATGTAAATCTATGGAATTGGGAGCAATTCTATAGAATTGTAATATTTAAGACACTTTTGCCCTCATACAAATTTCAAAATGACAAATTTGCCCTCAAAAAAAAATAAAACCCTCACGGCCTCGCCTCACTCACACATTCACGCTCGGTCGCGACAGAGGGAGAGAAAGCTGAGAGCTGTTGCAGAACGAGAGAAGGCAAGAGCTGTGGCGAGATTGAAGACGAGACAGACGACGGACGACGCGGTCTGGACTGGTATTTTGGATTTCGCGACCAAGGTATGGCAATCGACTTCCCTCCTCCATTCTTTTTCTTCCGTGATTTTATATCCTTTTGCCGCCTCCCCTGTTTAAGCTAGGTTTTTTTCTGGGTAAGAAAATTAAACTAATTAGTACTAAAAAAAAGGAGAATAGAGAATGACGAGCTTGAAAGGAGGCGGAGAAGATTGGAAAGGCGGAGAATTTTATTGAAAGGAAGAGACATAGCCTCTGGAATTCTGGAAAAGATTGTGTTTTTGCCGTATTCATGACTTCTTACTGTAGGCTGTTGTTTCAGAAAATATTTATTATGGGACTGTCCTAATAAAAGATTGTGTTTAATTTTATCCACCGGAGACTAGCTTCACCATGATGCCTTATCACCATCTTTGAAGCTATTCGCATGTTCCTCTGATTCTGGATTTCCAGTTACAGATGATGCACAGTAATTCAAATTCACCGTTTTGTTTATTTTCACGATGCCTATATTGTCGGCATCTTCAACTCCACCACCCAAATTTTTTTATATTCGGTGGTTCCCACTGCTTTCAGTGTGACTGTCACAAAACCATGCATCCAGAAAGTGTAGTGTACGAGAGTTTACTTCTGTGGCAAAAGTTATCTGAAAATTTTTGATCTTTGAATCTCCTTCATCTTCTTTCTTTGACTAGGTTTTGCAAATGGGCAATCCGTTTCTGGTAATATTTATTATGGGACTGTCTTAAAATTTTGTAACGCAATCTCAAGTACAATACATCTAATCAAATTGTTCTTGATCCCTTATCCACTTTGTTGCCACCTACTGTTGGTTTATCTTTACTTGGCTAGCTCATATTTCAGTGTTTCTCCCGTTTATTTTCCTTACTTGCACATGGTCAGGATCTAATATTGAAAGGCCTATAACTAGTGGATTTTGTATCTATAACTTGTTTACAATTAGTATGACACAATGTGTGTTTAGTTTAAGATGATTTACTAGAGTTTCATGATTTTCTAGTCTATTAAATATGGGTTTTATGTTAGAATTTTATACTGTTTTTGTTGCCAATAGAATTTTATACTGTTTCTAGTCTATTAAAGTGATATTTGTTGGATGTTTTAGAATTTTTTATCCTAATATTTAAAATTTATAACCTACAGTTATGGATCCAGAAATGAGAGATGTGATGGTTCATTTGATGATTTGGTGGATGCATGTTCTTCACTCTATGTATCAATGTTTCTTTGCCATTTGTACCACTATAGCCTTGCGTAGGAATCGTATTAGTCAAAGGCCATATACGGTAGACTTCTATGCTAATAGAGTCCACTTACGGAACTTGGTGTATAACAGTGACATTACTTGTTATAACCAGCTTAGAATGAATAGAGCTACATTCGACAAGTTATGTCTTATGCTTGATGTTATAGGAGGTTTGAAACCAACCAAAAACATGCTAGTTGATGAGCAAGTGGCAATGTTCTTGCATATCCTTGCACATCATTTAAAAAATAGAGTTATACGATTTTATTTTGGGAGGTCTGGTGAAACTATTAGTAGGTATTTTAATTTGGTCTTAACCTCTATGATGAAATTGAATCGAGAGCTTCTAAAGAAACCTGAGCCAATTGCTGAGGATTCAATGGACGAAAAATGGAGGTGGTTTAAGGTAATCTCATATCTTAATTCACAACTTTTATTAATGATATAATTTACTTGTTCTTTTAATTAATTATTTGCCATTTTCAGCATTGTTTAGGTGCTCTTGATGGAACCCATATTAAAGTGAAGGTGCCTATGGCTGACAAAGCGAGATATAGAAATCGAAAGGGGGAAATAACTACTAATGTGTTGGGAGTTTGCTCTCCGGATGGACAATTCATATATGTCTTAACGGGTTGGGAAGGCTCAGCTGCTGATGGTAGAGTTTTGCGAGATGCTATTAGTCGTAGGAATGGTTTGAAAGTGCCTCAAGGTAATGTTAATTTATTTTTTAGTAATGATCAATGTAGTAATGAGCTTAAAGTTAATTTCTTTTATTCTTGTAGGCCAATATTACTTGGTTGATGCGGGGTATACAAATTGTGAAGGATTTCTTGCCCCATTTCGAGGTCAGCGATACCACTTAAGTGAGTGGAGGGATGGACGGCAACCTTTAACTCCACGTGAATGCTTCAACATGAGGCATTCATCTGCGCGTAATGTTATTGAACGATGTTTCGGAATGTTAAAACTACGATGGGCTATTCTTAGGAGTCCTTCATTTTACCCCGCTCAAGTCCATAATCGGGTTATCATAGCGTGTTGTCTCCTTCATAATTTGATCCGTCGACAAGGAGATGATCCACTGGATATTGACATAGAGGCATTGGAGACAAATACCAATGATATGGAGATACCTTACATTCAAACAATTGAGACATCAAATGCATGGGCTAACTTTCGTGATACCTTGGCAAATGAAATGTTTGTTGAACTTATGAGTCATAGGGGTAGTATGTGAGCATTAGAAGAGACACCTAAATCTAGATGTGACTTGAATTCTAGTTGAAAATTTGTGGATGTATGTTTTGTGTAATGACAACATTATGAATGGTTTTATTAAGTGATGTTTGCCTTCTTTGCAATATTGTGATGTATGATATTTTATCTTCATAGCAATTGATTGTGTTATGATATGTTAAAACTAATGATAATTTTTGCTGTTTAAGTAAGATCATGGCAGGTGGCGATTCTACAAAGTCAACCCATCATGTTTGGACACCTGAGGAAGACTCTCTTCTTGTGCAATCCTTGCTTCAGCTTCGTGATGATGGGACCTTGGTTGCAGATAATGGGTTTAAGGCTGGAGGTTTAAAGAAGTTGCAAAGAATGATAGAGGAGAAGTCACCTGGATGCGGGATACTAGCTGTACCTCACATTCAATCTCGTTTGAAGACCTTGAAGACTTGTTGGCAGGTCATATATGATATGTTATATGGCTCAAACACATCTGGATTTGGTTGGGACCCCGACAAACAATGTGTCACAGCAGACAAGGAAGTGTGGGATGAGTATGTTAAGGTAAAACTTTACTAGAAAAATATTTTTTATATCAGCTTTTATACTTATAATAAATATTGATGCAGATTTGAGTGTGTAAGCTTACTAGCTGTTGATATTTTTATGTGATTTTGTGTTTGTAGAGCCATAAAAAAGCTGCTCATTTCAAGAACAAACCCTTCCCTCTCTTTGATGCACTATGCTCTATATTTGGAAAAGATAGAGCTGTAGGAAAAGGGTCACTTTCAAGCAATGATGTGCATGAGGTTGAAGCTGATACAGAGTTTGATACAATAGCTACTAATGTTGATGAAGATACTGTGGATATTGGACTAGAGATGGATCCATCAATTACATTCTCAGACCATCCATCAGAAAACACAAATGTTGGCACTTCTAAGTCTAAGAAAAGGAAAAGAACTAGTCAAGATCGTGATGAGTTTTTGACTGAGGCACTTAAAGAGATGTTAGCAGCTACTTCCCAAGACATCAAGGATTCCTCTGCCCAATTAAGAGCTCGTTTAGACAAGTTGGCTCGAGAAGCAATGTTAGATGCACGAAGAGAGGCTCTAGATGATGAGTTGTTGAAGGTTGAAGATCTTACTGACAATGAGCGCACTGATGCATATCTTAAAATGATAGGTGATGATAAAATTCTTGTTGGATTTCCTAACCTACCAGATAAGGCTAAGGCAGCTGTGGTTCGTAAAATACTTTATGCATAAATGCGTTATGTGTAAGTCATATATGCTGCTTCTTTTTGGGTATTATAGTGTAGCTAAGTCTATATTGTAAACCATGATGGATATATTTTTTTGGCTCTGTCATGGTTGGTAGCCTTTTTGATTACATAGTTGTGGCTGCTTTATATAGGAAGTCTGATTGTAAAGTGCTCAAGTCTACTTCTTTAGTTCATTTTTTGGTTTTGCCATGGTAGGTAAATTGTGCATTGGAAGATATGGCAAAAAAATTGAGTCAGACATTTTGTACAAATGCTACTTATGTGATAAATAGTTAACTTCATCCTTAGTGATGGGAAGAGGTGGAAAGGCATGAATCTTTCTAGTTACATTTTCTCTAGCCAAATTCATGAATCTGTTCAATTTGCTAGCTTTTTTTTTTCTGATCTACTCAAATTCACAGTCATTTCTTATGGAGTTATAGAATGAATTCAACTCTCAAGGTCTATATTTTTCAAGCATGGTTGAAACAATATTGGTCTAGATTTGAGATCCTGCTAAACTGAATATGGAAATAGAAAATGCTATCATATGCTAGCAAAAAAAAGAAAAAGGGAGTATAAAAGGTTGAATGATATTTTTGCTCATTATATATAAAACGTTATAATATATATATAAGATAGTATTATATATAATATTTGTATATAATTTATATATTTATAATATTTTTTTGGTATAAGAAGTAGAATTGATTTGTTTGACATTTTTCTTCTAAATCTACGTGTTAGTATATTTATTTTAAAGTAGAAGGGATGGGAACCATTGCCAATTTTATTTCCAAGAAAATGTTTCCTCTGATGATGAAACTTTTTGTTTGGCCCAAGCTAATGAATAATAGTTACAAATATAATCTATGATTTATATAATATTTCATTAATATATAAAATACATAAGAAAATTGATACACAATTAAGTTTTTATTATGTTTTATTTTAATTTTTATATAGGGGTATTTTTGTCTTTTAAGTATAATTCCATTTCCATGTCTTGCATACCAAACAAAAGTAATGCAAGGATTCCATCTAATTTTTCTGACATACCAAACATACTTTTATAATTCAATTCTATTCCAATTCTGATTCCAATTCCAATTCCATCAAAAACTATTCAATCATACCAAACGGGGCCTTAGAATGTTAAAGAGGTGGAAAGGTGTCAAGTGGTGATTGATGAATTTGGTGTGCAGATGATGCTTATTGGTGGGGCGGGGCGTGCCGGCTTAGTGTATTTTGACATCACCCGCATGGAAGATAATAAATGTGATGAGCTTTATTTATTTATTTATTTATTTTTTTTGGCCATCAAATAAATGTGAAGAGCTGGTGCATAATCAGTCTCAAAGAACCAATTTAATTCAAGATAAGTGTCAAAAAATTCTTAAATGTCAGTAAAATCCTATGGGTCCTCATATGTTAAAAAAAGATTATGACTAAAATAGGAACAGTCACTGAGCGAGATTTCCTTCAACGCTGTCCGTAGTGATAAATCTCACTTCTGATATCCTTTTCAGTAGTAGCCTCCACCAACAAGCTCCCACAAGGTTTCGACGACGTTAGGGGGAACTTGAAGTTCAGATTCGTGGAGGTTTGAATCGTACGGGCATGGACAGGTGTCGTTTTGGTAGGCGGCGAGAGTAAAAGCGCCGTGGGTGACCAGAAGGATCCGGCATGGGACGCCGGGTGGAGTTCTTTGCCTGAAGTAGTGAAGTGTCGAGCACCGGATCAGTACTCGCAACTCTCAAGGAGAAGAGAGAAGACGACGACGAGGGGTAGAATTGGAATATTAGTCATAGTTTGAGATATTTTTGCTGTTGCTGTGGATGAATGGAGGAACAATGAGAGATCCAATTTACAAAAGAAATTCTGTTTTGCTGGAAGCCAAGAGCCATTGATCGAGAGTCCCTCGCTCGATGAAGGATAGCTTCGGCTAGGTCCAGGCGAGGATGATGACTGCGAAGATGAAGAAGCTAACGACGGCAGCTACGGAGATCTTGGAGGGTGTGGTCTATGGCGGAGGTAGGAAGGGAAGAGATGGTGAATCGGAGTGGGGAAATTCATGGGTTTTTTTTTTTACTAAAATAACACGCACAGTAAAAAAAAATTCTTAAATTCTTACGGTGTGAAAAATATTTTTTAAAATGTTACGTAAAAAATCATTCATAACAAAACGAGTTTGAAATTTTAAAGAAACCGTTCTTGTTTGAAATGATTTTAAAATTAAAAATTATTTTTTTATTTTATTAAAAATGAAATCATTCTTAAACGTTTTTGACTTGTTATTGATTTGATGTTTTATTTTCAATCTTTACATTCTTGTTTTATCAAAATTTTCAAAACTTCCAAGCTTAGCTTTTGCTTTTCACATAAGAATAAAAAATTCATGAACAGTGGCTATATAAATGATTGAAAACATGAAGAAGTATTAAATAAGTTGAAGCCAGATAGAGTAAAGTCACATAATGTGAGGTAATTTTTTCTCTTCTCATTTCAATCATGAGTTAGTGATATTAAATATAATATTATTTACTCTTATTTATCTAGTGTTCTAACATTTTATTTCTACACTTTTCATTTTTGCTTTATTTTCTGCCCATTAGGACTCAAGGAAGAAGCCCCGACTAACTCCATGCCAGCAGTCGCGGTAAGATCGGGGTGGGGGAAGTGTTCTTCAAAATGACTGGGTGGAAAGGGCACGTAGGCAATGAATCAAGTTGAAGGTGAAAGTCGCCAAAAACTACTGGAATGCTCTTGAAACCAATTCACTTGAGTGAGACAGAGGAGAGTGGAATTTCATGTGTTAAGGGTGTATCTGCAAATCTACGAAGGAACGCTAAAAGCGAAGGCAGCTCTCTGGGTCACTACCAACACTAGAGTGTGAAAGTATGGGGAGCAAACGGGATTAGATACCCTAGTAGTCCATGCCGTAAACAATGAGTTTCATTTCTTGTACTTTATCATTTCTTTTTTTCTTTTTCAATCTTTAAAGTTTTTTATTTTTATTTCATTTATCTACTTCAATTGTTGGCATCAGTGTTATGATCAAAGTTTATATTTTCTTCCTTTTTATCTTCTTAAAGTCTGACTCTCCATCTGATCAAGTACATTTTCTTAATAATTTTTCAACTTTTAATAGAGACCCTTAGCTTACTGTACTAAGAGTTGAGTTGCCTTATCCACAAATTACTTGAGATAGGCCCAGCAAGTGACATGGTGGCTACTTGCCTATCCAACCATCAATTGAAAATGAAAATGTAAGGGAATAAGAGTCTCAAAATTTTAGTTAATTTCATTACATGCTAGCTTTATCATTATCATCACCCTCTTTTACCTCTTCTAATCTCACTTAATTTGAGTCTCATTACATGCCACCTTCATCATCATTCCTTTTCAACTCACCCACTCCTACTCAATTTAAATCATTTATGTCTTTACTTGATGATCCTGCATTATTTTCTACAATACTTTTACTTTTGAACATGTTAGACTGTCAATTGAAGCATATGCTACCCCTCCACAATTGATTTCTTTAGTTGAATCACCTTGATTTAATTTAAATACGCTAACTGCACAGATAACTGAAACACTTCAATTTTAAGGAGAGGGGAACATATAATAAGAACAAAAGGAGAACAAAATGTGGCACCAAAAGTCATTATTTGTGAGGTAAATTAATTTTCACTTTTCATTCATATAACTTAACCATTCATTATTAATTTTCATAAAACCTAATAATTATTTATTTATTATTAATAATTTTTAATTTATTACACCTCATAATAATTCCTTAATCATATTAGCAATAATTATTATTCATCACTTTCATTCAAATGATCACTAAATTATTATTGTAATTGTAAGGTACAACGGAAATTCATAAATTGTTCTTGCAAAAAATGAGTTTTGAAGGGACTAAATTG